ATTATGCTGACACGTCTCGTGCACCGACGACAGTCTGTGCCTCGCTCCACCACCCCCGGACCACTCCACCACTCGTCCCTATGTCACACTCCTCCAGATCATCGGCAATTATATCTATTGGGCTACTTTGTAGTGGCCAGCGAGAAACGTGATTTCGAAAAGGTTTTCGGTAATGACATGTGGGTCGAGCGAGGACCCCTGCGGGCGGCGTTCTCAGAATGTCGTCCCCTCCATCGGGACTCGGCCGGAGCGGAGGGCGCCCCGCCGCCCTCTCCCCAGGACGCCCCCTGCAGGATAGCGTTGCCGCACGCAGCTACGGCCGCCCTCACTCCTCTGGAAACCGCTCCTCCTCCTCGTTTATTTCTAACTTATACTTTCTAAAAATATGATTGTTTCAGTATAACATTTTCTGCAGCATATCTTATTATAATATAAAGTGGTAGACAAAGTGAACACTAGTGCTGATCCTGGGAGCCTCGCCTGGGTGCCACAGGCAATGTATATGTGTGGGGGTAATCACTGCCTGCTCTGTGAACTTACTGCATTTAAGGTACTCCTCAGGCCCTGACCCCGTACCTAGAGCCTTGGTGGCACCTTGGTGGCACCTTCGTGGGAGGTGGGAGCAGCGCCGTGCTAGCAGGGGCGACCAGTAGTTGTTGAGGAACCATCTTCTTTATTGGTGGAATTTGTCACAAGAGTTACCTTCACCTAACAGTGAGGGAGTCAGACCTATAGTGGGGGAGTGTGAGACCTATAGTGGGGGAGTGTGAGACCTATAGTGGGGGAGTGTGAGACCTATAGTGGGGGAGTGTGAGACCTATAGTGGGGGAGTGTGAGACCTATAGTGGGGGAGTCTGAGACCTATAGTGGGGGAGTCTGAGACCTATAGTGGGGGAGGCAGACCGATAGTGAAGCATCAAAAACTTGTAAGAAGAGACTTTCTAATTTATCAGGAGAGATTTAAATTATACTAGATAGATAACCTATGATTATGAGAACTTCCTGGAAGTTACCTCTACCGCGATAGCCGAGCCCATATATATATATAGGCAACGAACTCCCCTTACTAGAGGAGGTTTAGACCTACGATAAGGGGACCGTTACGTTATCAGAATGACCCTCCCCCCCCCCTCCCCGGCTGAATCGAGATCGTTTAATAAAAGATATACTCAGACCAGTACAATATGGACTCACGAAACAAGGGGTTCTGACGTTATCAGCGAGTCGACTCCTTGAGAATATATCTCGGTTACTTGGACCGAATCTTAACGCACCAAGACTTTGGTCACTCCTCAACCGTTCAATCATATGCCAGTATTCACAGTATTAAAGTTTGGGCTTTATTAGTACTTAAGCCAGCTACGGTATTGTGATTTATGTTTTCTCTTAGGAAGTTTAGTCATGGAAAAAAAAAAAGAGTCCGCGATCGACTAAACTAGAAACCGTCGTTAATAGGGGACTCCAGCGTTGTCAATGGGCCTGTCTTATTTTAACCTTCTTAGGATACGTAGCTTGATGAAGGAGACAACATTTCTTTAATAGTCCCTTGTATCATGTCAATAACGAGCCTAGGATGTCAGGAGGAGTTTTGTTAACTTCTGCTGCAGTCTTCGAGTATTTTTCCCGAGCACGTCTCTGGTAATTCTCAGGAATTTAAGAAACCCATGAGATAAGGTTAACATTTGATTTATTCCCTGACCTCCTAGGGACCCCGACACGCGATATAGACATATAAACATATAATAGCCGTACCTCAACATGTCAACAGAAAGAAAACGCAGAGCTTTAGAAAATAAGTGAAAAATAAGAGGCATTGAGAGGGACGACGAGTAGGCCCCGAAGGGAAGTCGAATATTTGCCGACGTAAATTAGAGCGAGGGTGAAGGGAAGTTTTGGAGGCTACGTTGTGATCTTATGGCAAGGCTCGAGTAGTGAAATGAAATACCTGTGATGTGTGAGCTGGGAGGGGGGGGGGGGGAGATGAGATCAAGGCAATCTATCACTGAAGAGGACAAAGGGTCGGGAGTAAATGACGATCCCTTGGCTACCCCAGCAGGAGGGGGGTGAGAAAGGTGCGGTCTGACGGACGCAGCAGGGGTCGCTGACGGAGCAGAAGCAGGGCGGCTCTTGATTTACGGAGGCCAGACCTGGAACCCCCTACCCCCCCCCCCCCCTTCCCCCGTCTTCCATATGAGGGTCCGCATTCCCCCCCTCCCCCCCTCATCCATATATGACACCAGACCGGTCCCACTAAGAGGGCTGGAATACGAAAAAAAGTCTGAAGGAACTTGACCCTAATACTCAACAGGAAAGGTGGAACAGAGGTGACATGATCGCGGTATGGGAGATCCTTATAAATGTTGACAAATACTGGAATATTTTATTTAGTACAAGTATTACGAGAAGAGCCACGGGGGTTTTTCAGGATAGATTTCTTGAGTGCTGAGTGAGGACGAGGTGTCAGCACGTGGCACTGTCACAGGAAGGACAGTGAAGGAGCAGCTCACTACCAAATACTCAGACCTGCGTGTCTTCACCATAGTGTCTTCACCATAAATATTTCATCCGTTAACTGATATTTCAAGGCTGCGTTGACCTGTTGAATGGTGTTGCAAGATGACAGTATTGGGCCGCTGCAGGTGGTGGTTGGTCAGTGGAGGAGTGTGTGGTGTTCAGTCTCACTTTGGTCATGTGTTGCTTTGTGATGTTGGGTTGTTGGGGGGAGTACAGAAGATGGAGAAGTTCAGGAGAAGAACACAGTTTTGGGAATGTGGCATATAGAGTGAGTTATGTTAGCAGGCGGGCTAGCTGTCCGCCTTGCTGACACGATGTTAATGTGATTGGTAGGTAAACAAAACTTGCTTTCTCTTGTCATGAAACTGTGAGTGTTTGTGAAGTAAGTCTCAAGCAATTTAAACATATATGGTTGTCTACAGACGAATACTGTGTAGCATTCTCACACGCTCTGAAGCTTTTGTTCATGATTTGATGATCTGTTCGTTGTTCACTTTTTTCGTGTTTGGAGGATTTGGTTTGCATTTCATCTTTGAATTATGTATTATGGGGCTTGACTGACCTCGAGAAGATCTAAGCTCTTGGGTCCCCAGCTGTGTGGGAGTGGGGCTCCTCTTCTTGGAGGCGTATGTTGTATAGTGTCCTCTGGGTTTCACTTTCCAATGTTTAATAGAACGTTTGTTTGTTGTTATTTATTGTCTATTGCTTTTCAAAGTCGTTTATGACTTCTATTCCTTCCTTGGTTTTGTCGGTCAATAACGTCTTTGTCCAGGGTGGGACACTATTTGTGACGTTATCCCTCACAGGTGACGTATTCCCCATGATGGGGAGGGGGGGGGCAGGTCAGCTGTGGTACTCCACTGTTCAGGTGTATTGCGTCACCCAAGTAGCTGTTCAGCTTAGTTGTTAAGTTGTCTATGAAGCTGCACAGTGTGGCTGTAACACTCGTGGAAGCCCTAGTTCAGACCTCTTGTATTTAAGGCCGATGGGCCAGACTTTGTCGAAAGTTTTCGATACATCTTTGAACACTACTTTGCAGTGTTCTTTTTTCGTCACTGTTTGGGCTATAAGCTCACGAAGCTGCTGTTACGTACTCCTAGCAGAATACGTATATAAATTTAAAATAACTTGTTTTATTTTATTATATCATTGCCTGTATATGTACACACATTGTGTTTTTGGTAAATTATCGTGTGGTGTGGCAGCGTCAGTGGAGACAGGAGCGCGGTTGCTTTTGCACACGTCTAATACCTGTTTAATTCGAGAAGCTGGACCTGTTCAGTTGGGAGTTCCAGATGTCACTTTTATTTAGTTTGGGTAATTGTTTATTTTCTGTAATTAAACAGGTGGCATTGTACTTATATATTTTGTAAGTAACTATTATCTGTAATTTGCATTCTTGTGTGTTTTGAGAACAAGTGGTTGTTCAATTAGTTTTAAATATTAAAAAGTCCTTAGTTTCCATCCCTCATCCTGGGATGAGGCAGACGGGAGGTGAGAATGTGGGTGGCGACAGAGCGAGAGTTCAGTAGCTGAACAGGACTCGAAGGAGTAACATGTGGGAGATAAGTCTGTACATTCATGTTGTGCCATATTTTATTTTGTTATATTAAGTGATATGACAATACTTTCGTTTGTTGTATAAGTTACTTGACCATCTGTGTTTTTATATTATACTGTCTTGAATATATATCTATATAATATTTTGTATCTATTCTTCAGTCCTAAAGGAAGGTTTTTATTTATGTGCTCATTACTTATTAAGGGGTTATACTGGTGATCCGCTCTTGAGAACAGCAGTTTTCTCGTATCCCTAGACGTAATTAAAGCTTGGCTGCTGTAGGGTCACGAGCCGTAACGAACGATAGGTAACAGCTGCACTGTAATATAGTGCTCAAAGTTGTATGGAAAGATTTCGACAAAGCCTGGCACACAGGCCTAGAGTACAAGACATCTGAACTAAGGTTCCCACAGTGTGTTCCAGCCACACTGTGCAGCTGCCAGATTATACTGTGTGACTGTGGGCCATCTGTGGTTCCCGAATCCACGTTGTCTGATGTTATACTCTTGGTCTACTTCCGTGTGCTTCACCAGTCTGTGGTTGGTGATCTTGCTTTGTTTTCGAGTATTTTTATCTGGTATCTCGCGTAAGATAACCGAGCTGTAATTCCCTGTTTGTGTTGGTGATTTACTTGCCACACTATGGCAGGTAAATTCTCTGGTAAGCAATTAATCCTCTGATTAGCAAATTAAACCTTTGATTAGCAATTAATCTGATATTGCCAATTTTGAAGTAGGTGGGGAATGCAAGAGTTGTGTGATGTATTGGCGTATATTGGTGTGGCATGAGGGATGGGGGGGTGGCATGAGGGAGGGGGGGGGTGGCAGGAGGGAGGGGGGGTGGCAGGAGGGAAGGGGGGCGGGGTTGTGGGGGGGGGGGGGGGGGGGGGGACAGCCCGGGTCGGTACACACAGCTGCAAGCAACAATGACTGTTTTCTCGCCTCTGGAAAACACTATATTTGTCTTAGACAAACAAAAACGACGCGCGACTCCAACACAAACATTCCCGGGAACTCCCGCCCACTTCCCGCTCACCCCCGCCCACTTCCCGCCCACTTCCCGCTCACCCCCGCCCACTTCCCGCTCACCCCCGCCCCACTTCCCGCTCACCCCCGCCCCACTTCCCGCTCACCCCCGCCCCACTTCCCGCTCACCCCCGCCCCACTTCCCGCTCACCCCCGCCCCACTTCCCGCTCACCCCCGCCCCACTTCCCGCTCACCCCCGCCCACTTCCCGCTCACCCCCGCCCACTTCCCGCTCACCCCCGCCCACTTCCCACTCAACCCCGCCCCACTTCCCACTCAACCCCGCCCCACTTCCCACTCAACCCCGCCCCACTTCCCACTCAACCCCGCCCCACTTCCCACTCAACCCCGCCCCACTTCCCACTCAACCCCGCCCCACTTCCCACTCAACCCCGCCCCACTTCCCACTCACCCCCGCCCACTTCCCACTCAACCCCGCCCCACTTCCCACTCACCCCCGCCCACTTCCCACTCAACCCCGCCCCACTTCCCACTCAACCCCGCCCCACTTCCCACTCAACCCCGCCCCACTTCCCACTCACCCCCGCCCCACTTCCCGCTCACCCCCGCCCCACTTCCCGCTCACCCCCGCCCACTTCCCACTCAACTCCGCCCCACTTCCCACTCAACTCCGCCCCACTTCCCACTCAACCCCGCCCCACTTCCCACTCAACCCCGCCCCACTTCCCACTCAACCCCGCCCCACTTCCCACTCACCCCCGCCCACTTCCCACTCACCCCCGCCCACTTCCCACTCACCCCCGCCCACTTCCCACTCACCCCCGCCCACTCACTCGACTAGCAGGATAGGGTGAGCCATAGTTATGAAGCTGCAGTATTACACGAGACAGTTATGATAGACGACAGGTTTCAGGCAGCCAGGTGTAGAATGGGGGGGGGTGGTGGGGGGTGGGGAGGACGTCTGTGGGGAAGTGGCATGGGAAGCAGGTGCTTGTTTACCTATCCTTCACTACCTATCCGTGACTATGGGGTGAGTGAGACATAGCTCTGGTCCCCCGCCTCCTAGCCGTTTATACGGGGCGCGCTAATTATCTTTCTCATTATTAATGTGTTCTTCACAGTTCCTCTTAAAGTTGTGGTTGGGATTAACTTCAGTAACATCTTCCTTCAGTGAAGGAAGCTTTCCTACCACGCGCCAGGAAAGGAGACCTTCCCCCCCCATCTGTGGATGGGTCCCCCCCCATCTGTGGATGGGTCCCCCCCATCTGTGGATGGGTCCCCCCCATCTGTGGATGGGTCCCCCCCCATCTGTGGATGGGTCCCCCCCCATCTGTGGATGGGTCCCCCCCCATCTGTGGATGGGTCCCCCCCCATCTGTGGATGGGTCCCCCCCCATCTGTGGATGGGTCCCCCCCATCTGTGGATGGGTCCCCCCCCATCTGTGGATGGGTCCCCCCCATCTGTGGATGGGTCCCCCCCATCTGTGGATGGGTCCCCCCATCTGTGGATGGGTCCCCCCATCTGTGGATGGGTCCCCCCCATCTGTGGATGGGTCCCCCCCATCTGTGGATGGGTCCCCCCCATCTGTGGATGGGCCCCCCCATCTGGGGATGGGCCCCCCCCATCTGGGGATGGGCCCCCCCCATCTGTGGATGGGCCCCCCCCATCTGTGGATGGGCCCCCCCCATCTGTGGATGGGCCCCCCCCATCTGTGGATGGGCCCCCCCATCTGTGGATGGGCCCCCCCCATCTGTGGATGGGCCTCCCCATCTGTGGATGGGCCCCCCCCATCTGTGGATGGGCCCCCCCCCCCATCTGTGGATGGGTCCCCCCATCTGTGGATGGGTCCCCCCATCTGTGGATGGGCCCCCCCATCTGTGGATGGGCCCCCCCATCTGTGGATGGGTCCCCCCATCTGTGGATGGGGATGTGGATAGACTATGTGGGTCAGGAGGGGAATTGGTGCTGAATTATTATATTTTTTTATTATTATTTTCTACCACAGACGTGGCCACACATTTACAATGCTAACCAGCATATATACATTTTCTTCTGTCCTCCATGGACAGGGTTAGAGATCGGTTAAACATATAGTTCAGGATGATTGTTTTGAACAATCAACCACAGAAGGTGATTGTGGTATATTAACTGTTTTGTGGTGCTGAATGGGTGGATAGGTCCCAAATGTGAAGGAGGGGTTTGGGTGGAGGAGTGGTGGGTGGGCAAGGGGGGGGGGGAAGGTGGTGAGGGGTAACCACCCCGGCAGGGCAGCAGAGGAAGGTGTACTGGAAGGTGTACTGGCAGGTGTGCTGGCAGGTGTACTGGAAGGTGTACTGGCAGGTGTACTGGAAGGTGTACTGGAAGGTGTACTGGCAGGTGTACTGGCAGGTGTACTGGCAGGTGTACTGGCAGGTGTACTGGCAGGTGTACTGGCAGGTGTACTGGCAGGTGTACTGGCAGGTGTACTGGCAGGTGTACTGGCAGGTGTACTGACAGGTGTACTGGCAGGTGTACTGGCAGGTGTACTGGCAGGTGTACTGGAAGGTGTACTGGAAGGTGTACTGGCAGGTGTACTGGCAGGTGTACTGGCAGGTGTACTGGCAGGTGTACTGGAAGGTGTACTGGCAGGTGTACTGGCAGGTGTACTGGCAGGTGTACTGGCAGGTGTACTGGCAGGTGTACTGGCAGGTGTACTGGCAGGTGTACTGGCAGGTGTACTAACAGGTGTACTGGCAGGTGTACTGGCAGGTGTGCTGGCAGGTGTACTGGCAGGTGTACTGGCAGGTGTGCTGGCAGGTGTACTGGCAGGTGTACTGACAGGTGTACTGGCAGGTGTACTGGCAGGTGTACTGGCAGGTGTACTGGCAGGTGTGCTGGCAGGTGTACTGACAGGTGTGCTGGCAGGTGTACTGGCAGGTGTACTGGCAGGTGTACTGACAGGTGTACTGGCAGGTGTACTGACAGGTGTACTGGCAGGTGTGCTGGCAGGTGTACTGGCAGGTGTACTGGCAGGTGTACTGGCAGGTGTACTGGCAGGTGTACTGGCAGGTGTGCTGGCAGGTGTACTGGCAGGTGTACTGGCAGGTGTACTGGCAGGTGTACTGGCAGGTGTACTGGCAGGTGTGCTGGCAGGTGTACTGGCAGGTGTACTGGAAGGTGTACTGGAAGGTGTACTGGCAGGTGTACTGGCAGGTGTACTGGCAGGTGTACTGACAGGTGTACTGGCAGGTGTGCTGGCAGGTGTACTGGCAGGTGTACTGGCAGGTGTACTGGCAGGTGTACTGGCAGGTGTACTGGCAGGTGTGCTGGCAGGTGTACCTTACATCCGGACTATTCCCCACTCACTTCAAAAGTTACATCTCTCGGATTATTTCCCAAGCCAGATAAACTCCCCAACACAAACAGGAAATAAGACCTATTTTCTTACTCGAGATTCTAGGAAAAAATCATAAATCACCCTCTTGGCCCTTTACTTCCCAACTTACATAAAACATGACCACAGTAGCAAACTAAACATTACATTGACAACCACCACTTCTTAAATACCCGCATAGAAACAGGCCTAGTAAGTTCAAGTGACAACCTGCCAATATTACTGTCAACAAACCCAATACAGAACCCCTCCCAAGACTCCATAAACACAGAACTGAACAGATAAACACCGCGGAAAAATGTCTCCGTCTCTTGACGGAGACATTCTCATAGCTCAGCCCGCCCTCCAAAAATGAGGAGGTAAATGTAACAGCCCCATAAGTGCAATTATGTACTATGTATGGCAGTCAGGAATTGTACTTATTATCACTTAGTATTAAGCCGTACTGTCAAATATATTGTGAATATTTGAGTTTACCTGAAAAGCTGAATAGAAAATCACGACCTAACCTAATCGTCTTAGTTTTTGAAGATAAGCATTTTATTGCTTCTTAATTACAATTACTACTTAACCTATATAGCTATATTGATATTACAGTTTTATAAAACAAAGCTAAAATATTTAAATTGTAAAGTAACTCAAGATATTTTCAAATTTTGTATAAAATCTCTATTGTTTAATAAAACTGAAAAATAAATTCTTGATATTTAAAACTTGTTTATAGCAAACTGAGCTTTAAAACTTCATCCTAAAATTTTGAGTGTCTTAACAGAAAACGAGGAGAATAAATGGGGAGGTAAATGTAACAGCGTCATAAGTGCAATTATGTACTATGTATGACAGTCAGGAAATATACTTATTATACTTAGTATTAAAACGTACTGTTAATTCGGAGGATGGGTTGAGCGTTGGCAACCGCATAGCTGGCCTCCTCCCCATAGCTGGCCTCCTCCCCATAGCTGGCCTCCTCCCCATAGCTGGCCTCCTCCCCATAGCTGGCCTCCTCCCCATAGCTGGCCTCCTCCCCATAGCTGGCCTCCTCCCCATAGCTGGCCTCATCCCCATAGCTGGCCTCATCCCCATAGCTGGCCTCATCCCCATAGCTGGCCTCATCCCCATAGCTGGCCTCATCCCCATAGCTGGCCTCCTTCCCATAGCTGGCCTCCTCCCCATAGCTGGTCACACTCTTCCCTCATCTTTTGAACATTTTTGGTGCTACATAGCCTTCCCGGCTTGGTGCCTTCTTTGATAATTACTTACTTTTGAACATTTCTTCTCGCCGCAAACCAGAGAGGCGAGCGCAAAGAATGGCGAGAACACTTCAGAATGAGCTGCAAGACAAGAAAAATAGAAAAAAGCAAATAACGAGATGTTCTAATAAGCCAAATGCAAACACTCCTTAGAAACCCAGGAAAGTTATGGGGAATAAGTAAAAACACGATGGAACCTTAACCGTGGAAACATTTTACATCAGAAACGCCATAGAAAATAAGATTTATGAAGACGGAACAAGAACAAGAATTCAGAAAATATTGGGAAGACACATTGAGAATAATATCTGAGGAAACTGTCAACATTTGTCCCAATAGAGGAAGAGCACTTACAGATCTTGAGGACAACAGAGCTGCAACTTTATTCCCAAGTCTAAAAACTAATTTCTTACTTCCTTACAATTAATTTCTTAACAACTTTCTCAGTGAGCATCACCTAATGAACGACACCATCATCGAAGAAGCCCAAGAAACAATTAGACGTTTTAAACACAAAATACCAGGCATTAGCAAAATAAACTGACTTTTATTTTACAAACTTTGCAGTGATGGTATAACTCTATCAGTATAACCGAATATTAAATGAAGTTCTTGCATCGGGATTATTCCTTCCCTACTTTAAACATTTCCCAAGTCGGGTAAACCCCCGAACACTACCGAGAAATTACAGATCAATTTCCTTACTCCAGATTCCGGGCAAAATATCCACCAACCACCGACTGGCGAAGCACCTGGTCGTAAAACATCATGTAGACATTTTGTTGTTGACAAAAGTCGACAACATGGATTCAGAAACCACAGATAAGCAGCAGGGCCTCATACAGCTGTAGCCGTGATCTATGAGCATAAAACCAATTACACGACGACAAAAATAGAAGGGTAATGTAGTGTTCAGAGATCAATTGGTAACATGCGACCGTCTGTCACATCGGCCTGAAATACAAGATGCCTGAACTAGGGCTTCCACAGAGTTACCCGAGTCCCAGTAGTCTGCTAACATTCCTATGTTAGACTAGGTGGATGTCAATTATAATGGGTTTCGGGTTTCTTTTTTGCAATCTGTATTATTTGGAAGTTTAGTTTTTTGGTACCTATTGTTTTTGGTACCTATTGTCCATTGTTTTTTCGAAGTCGCTTATGACTGCTATTGCCGCCTTAGTTTTGTTGGTTAATAACGTCATTGTCCAGGTTGGGACATTATTTGTGACGT